GAATCACAGTTTAGGTAATCTACTAAGCTGTTTCATGGGTAGGAATATCAAATAGTGAGACTTGGTCATTTCCCAGGCCAAGTTTGCTTATGTTTGTTTCATCATCAGTCCATAGGTCACTGTCCTTTTGAGATTGTATATATACGGAAGTCTCTCATATCCTTGGAGCTAGTATCGATGCTCTATGCTACCGAGGTTAGCCTTGATTCTAAGGATAAAGTCGGAGAGATTTATACCATGCATGAATGGGTGAGGTAAGAAATTTCCAAGGAGAACATCGAGTACTAGAATTAGATTGACCCGTTCATAAAATCCCAGGTTTTTAAGGAAAGAGATGCAGCATAATTTTTGTTTATGATCAATAGGTTTCTCATAAGCTCTTTTGGGAAGCTTAAACCAAGAGCTTGTGATCCATTTATGATTGCCTAGAAAATTAATGATAATGCATGTGAGATTGATCAGCCAGGAGACTAACATCTCTGCTAGTTTGAATGTTGCAAATCTATCGCCATAATATGAGGATCATTATGCTTTTGGCGAAGACGATTAGCCTTCTCTTACTCGTGGAGAATGATGCAGGGCGTCTTGCTTCCGCTTCTCCTAGGTGAACTTGAGACAACACCAGCCAGGGTTGAACCTGTTCAAACTATTCCCAACCCCTATGGGCCGGCCTGTCTCTGTAGGTGTCTTATTTTCCTTTTTTAGGCTATTATTTAGGGTTATTTTGCTGTAGGTCATTTAAATATGTTGTAAATTATGTTTAGACACTCTTTGGTTTTGGTTTATGCATTAGAGATTGTTTTCTCTATTTTGCTCTTGTCGAAGTGCTGTATTCTTGATCTCTTTTTGGTGGCGTGATTTTAACATGATTGCCTCTAGGTGGTGAAGATCGACTGAATTGCTCTACATTTCCAACCCCTACTGTTGACCTGATGTTTTTTTATTCCATACTACTGTCCGGCCCTTAGTTGCACCAGGTTTTCAGCTACCACCACAGTTTTCACAATTGTTTCTCATTCTACAGTTCCCTCAGCCCATCTCTTGATCTCCCCACCCCCTCTAGGAACCCAATCGTCTCTCATTCTACAACTCCCTCAGCCAATCCCTTGATCTTCCCACACCTACTAGGAACTTATATCGGTGTCAGTTATCTTGAGTAATATTTATTTTGCAACATAAGATGTTATGAAGTAAATAATGTTTAATTTAACAGAAGCCCAATTTACCTTCCCCCTCTCTTGGGCACACACGTATACGCGATGTGCTAGACAGGCTTAATATCTGGTGCAGTGTAAAAGAATAACTGTACAAGTGGTTATTTTGGGTGTACATTGGATTACGATTTAGCTCTGGACCGACTAAATGCTGCTTTATGATGTGATTTGCAGGTATAAAGGCAAGGAGTTGTGAGCTTAGTGAAAGAATAGTGATATGCATGTTTAGCGGAGCACTTATGTTGCATGACACAAACCTTCAAAAGAAGATATGGTTGATATTGGGAGTTAAGGTGGACGTATGTGAGGCAATGAGCAGGATGTGACTACTGGGATGTTGAGGAGGGAGTGCAGGTTGGGACAACATGAACATTGAAATTACAATTACTGGTGGTGTTGTGGAAGATTGAATATTAAGGGTAGTGAGTGTGCACATTGAGAAGCCAAGCCATGAGGGTAGGCCCTAGCAAATACAACTAAGCATTTTGTTTGTTCAACCATCTTTAATGCCTCCAAATATCTTTGTTGAGAGGGAACTTGTAGGTGATGAATGTGTTATGGGTGTTGTCAATGATGGGAACCATTGATAAATTTGAATGGATACCGGTAACTGCAATGTTTTTAGAAGCATGCTTCATGAGCAAAGTGAAGCGAAACACGTGACACTCACTTTGCTTGGCTGAGGCCTCTTCGAAGTCTAAAGTTAATTGCATGTTTTTTTGTAATTTTTAAGTTTTTAATTATTACAACATACTATTAAAAACTATTCAAAATTTTAATTTGCAGGCTTACCTTCAATATTTGCCTTCAAGTTATGTTTTGTACCACATTTTTTTCTATTTTATATCATTTTTTATGTCATATTTAATATTTTTTAATTGTTAATGAATGCATTTATACCTTACGAGTTTCGTATATATTCTTTGCGATTTGGTTAATAAATGTGTTGTTTCGCTGTGCGCTTTGTGTTTTAAAAGCAAAAAATAATGTCTTGTGCCTCGCATTGTGCTCTGGGCTTTGATAATATTGGTTAAGAGTGGAGGGCAGCTTGGACAAGATAACATCTGTGATTTGGAGAAGAGCACTAACAATGATGATTTGTAACATTCATCTCCAATGATTTGGTATTGAAAAATCAATTGACAACAAGCAAGGAAACATAACGATGAATGTGGTTGAATTTATTTATTTTCGATATTTTGATTTTTCAAAGAAGAGATTCAAAGTTGAAGGAGAACTAGTTAGAGTAGTTGACACCAGAGTTAACCCAAACCACGACACAAGACACAAATTTATCAATAACTTGAAAGGTCGGTTACAACGATGACTCAAAGAAACGAAAGATACCATATAAATCAAAACTTAAAATAAAACTTTAAAAACAAAGACTCAACAAATAAAGACACGACAAGCTCGACGAGGAGGGAGACCGGAGAGGTAGTGCTGGAGCAGCTGCTGCGGTGAAGGCCAGAGCGATGTCAGACGAGAGTGGACAGCAAGTCAGTGCTTGTCGAGGCGTCGTACGACAGCTGGAAGGAGCGGAAATCGGCGTTGAGGGTGGAATCCGTAGGTGTCGATGATGGCGGTCGAAGCCAAGGAAGGAAGGCGAGAATTGCGGCCGAAGTCGAGGAGCTGAGGCATGACAGGCTTCCAAAGCTGAGGAGCAGAGGCATGGTGCTGAAGGTAGGTCTGATGATGGCTGCGTCCGGTTGGAAGGGAGGCAACATTGATCTGACGCTAGAGAGAGGGTTGCAGCTTGTTGTGAAGGAGGCGGTAGGACGACTACAGGCTGTAAGTGGGGGTGCTGCAGTGTAGGGAGGTACTAGGAGAACCTGAGGGAGGCTGCAACTTGCTGTGGGAGAGGCGTTAGAGGAGCTGTGGGCTGGCGATGGGGGTGCTACAGGGCAGGGAGGCATTGAGAGGCCTTGTGGGGAAGCCTCCCGTGGAAGAGGCGATAGGGATTTTGGTGGCTTGCAAGGGTGTTGCATGGGGCTGTCGGCGGCCTGAGGGAGAACTAGGGAGGGCGACAAACTGCAGGTAGGCTGCAGGAGGAGGGCCGACAATCTGGAAGGGAAGTGGAGGCAGGGAAGCTGCCGGCTGGATTGCTGGTTTGAATTGAATGTCGACAAGCTGTAAACGGTGTGGAGTGGTCGGAATGATGAGGATAAATACCACCTCAGATGGGGTTACAGTTGGGGCACCTTCGTTGTCATCGGATACAAATACTCAGATAAAACTGAAATCGAGTTCAAAATCAAGGCCCTTACCCTAGACACAAGAACTCCTATTTATGAAAAACTTGACTTAATTTTTGGAAACATTAAAATGGGAAAGAAATAATATCAGATAGCAAAATTTAGGGTGGACCTTTAAAATAAGGAAGCAATATGTTGGCACATTACATTGCTTGCTTGTGAAGCTCGAGAAGCTTCACTAGCTTGTACAAATGCACATATTGCACAGTTTCATTGCATCGCGTTTTAGTGTTATGCACTTAACTTTTGCACAAAATGAAAACAGTGTTCCAAATTTTATGACTAAGATAAACATCTTTCATAATAACTTAGGCATAAACATTTGTTTCTCACCATTTTAATAGGAGTAAAGTGTCAAAATATTCTCCGACTATTTATATGGGGTTGTTTTACTCCCAGAGTTTATAGAAGTGCCAAAATAGTCCCAGACTTTTAAATTTAAGCTGAAATAGTCTCTATGGAGAACTATTAAAGATCAATTTTTAAATAATCGGTGGCTATTTGGGCACTTCTATGAACTTTGAGACTAAAACTGACACATGTAAATAGTAGGGGAATATTTTGGCACCTTATTCATTTTAATAGTCATGAAGTTGTTTCTCTTTAGTTTTTAATTCTCTCATGGTGGAACTAGTCTTTTTATTATATGTCTCTTGATGGTTCTTATTGTTTGTTCTAATATTTTCTTGCTCATAATGTTCTTCTCAAGAATGCTTTTCAATGCCTTATCTTAATAGTTCATCTTGTATCTTGCTTCTCTACCTCTTGATCTCCCGCTAGTCACTCAATATCAAAATTATTTTACTTTTTTTTGCTTTCAAATAACTTATAATTACTATTATTCAATTTAGAATTATATTTGTTGAAAATTCTTAAATAATGTGATTTATTTCTGGTTAATTTAAGGAATATTACATGCACATAATATTTGTAAATAAGATATAGAAGTCATGAATGCTTTAGTTATTAGAAGGGTAATTTTTCTTTGTGCTTCGCTCATTAAAATAAAAGAAACTCTAGCACATCAAATTATGTTTAGCGCTTTTCTGTATGAGAGAAGACCAGAGTCTATCAATTTAGATAATTGACCTAGAAGTCCTAAATGACAAGTAAGAACAAAACATATAAAAAAATATAAAATATTTTGATACAAGTAAGACTCAATACTAAATTATTATATTGCTCACATTACTAGTACTTAATATCATGGCTATCCCCAGATGCACAAAAGAGAGCACGATTCAGCTGAACATCAAAGAAGATTAATTTGAAAGTTAGAGCATTTTGATTTTAGTAGCAGAAGCAAATTTTTAAATATCCTAATCTCTCCAAGTATGATGCATTTGGACCAAATTCAAATAGCATTCTTTTTTGTGACAAAAATAAAGCGGAAGTGATCTCAGTTACATATTCTTTAAGATTTTTTGCTTCTGTTGATTTCTATCTTAATAAAAAAGTATTGCATAATTTAATTGAAATTTTGTACTCTTGGAACATACTTATCAAACTAAGTTGATAATTTCTTTGATAGATTGGAGAGAAAGGCCCATGGATGTGGTTGGCCATTTCTGGTTTTCTAACCCTGCAGAGAAGGCTTGGAGTTCACCATTTGAAAAATTAAGTAAATCACTCCAGGTATGTTTCTGGTTATCGAGCAAAAGTAAGCATATCTGAGTTTGCGATGTAACATATTGAATGGATGTTTTATTCAGAACCTGCTTTCGTTTTCTCTGAGTGGTCATGATAGAAATACCATCAAATCCATTTCTATTTTGTTACCTATTGCCAGTTTATTATCCAATACTTAGAAGCAATTTATAGGCTTTTATCAGGTAAATTTGTATTTGAATATTATATTTTTAACAAGTAGTAGATGATTCCTTGTACTTTTTGTGATGGCATCCAGGATCAGTCTTGAAAGTAATTATTGTCACAGATTCAATCAAAGTGGACATTGACACGCTTTACCATGCTAACAAGCAAATTAAGAATTATTTTTCAGTTATTTTCTTTGAATTTTTGCTGGATCTTTTATTGTATATGACACGTAGCTTCTCATCCAACTCTGCGCCAACAATTAATGAATCTCAATTTCATTTTGTGGTGAAATAATTTAGTAAGTTAAAGAGTTCAGTAAGTAGAAGCATCAAGGAAAAAATTAATGGTATGATATCTAGATTAATGTCACATTCAGCTGGCCAAAGTTGTAATCGTATCAATTTCTATTGAAAATAGGACGTGCCATGGAAAGCATTTTTCAAAAGTCAGGCAGTATGGGCAATGATGTATGCTCATTTTTGTGGAAGTTGGGGACACTATACCTGCTTATCCTGGCTTCCTACATATTTTAGGTAAGCCAGATCATATCATTTCTTTGTTCATTTTCAATCTCTTTAATTTCCTAAAAAAGTTTGGTTTGTGCACAACATCGATCACTAGCTGTAATTTACTGATCATTTTCTTTTTTTTCTTGGGAAGTAATTCTGATTGTTCCTTAAAATCTTGAAACATGCTTTTTTTCTTTCTAGTTTTAATTTTCCGGGAGTTTATATACTTTGTTAAAGGTAAACATTTTTCATTTATTATGGCTGTAGTTTTCAATACTTGCCATTTTAAGTAACCAAATTTCTACTCGAGGACATTTTCTTGGTATTCTGGAAGTTTCCAGCTATGCTTATGGCTTTCATTTATGTTCTGAAGCAAAACCTTTGTAGCCTTTAACTTTGACTGTTTAATCTTTAATGAATTTTGTTGTGTAATGGATTCTATTCTTTTGTTATTTTGAACTGACGAATGAAAGCTTGGACTGAAGTCCTTCGGTCCAAGCAAGCGGATGCTTGGCCTGCTTACACGTGATTGTCCCACATCCACTCCTGAAACGAGAGCCACTCACATTAGTCTTCCAGGGTTGTTGGAGCTTTGACTTTATTCGACAAAGTTTTTGTCTTCTTATAGTATGTTATCAAATCGACCCAGTTGAATATAGTTGAAAGGGATTAATCTTTTGGTAAGTTAATCTTGTAGGCGATGTCATTCTAAAGCATATCTTAATAGAATAGGTATTCGGCTTCTTTTGACACAACAAAAACTAGAACTGCATGTGGTTGAATATCCGCATGAATCAAACTTTGAGTCATTAAATCTCTAATTGACTTCTTCCACTCCTCATACTCATCTTATTGTATCTAATAGACATGTATGTAAGGAGGATTCAACTATAGGATAAAATCTATGGCAGACTAAACAACTCTCAATAGCAACCATAAGGGAGATGCCTTTATTTTTTCTCTATAAGGAGTTGGATCTCGTTGAAGGATGTTTTTCCCGCAAAGCTTCTAAGGAGATTTGCAACACTCCGAGTCACCCCTCCTGTTTGACCATTTTTGGTGGGACATTATTGAATTGAGTTTAATACCCAAATTACTCTTTATAGTCCTCCAGAAGTTGTTCAAAGCTTATCATCTCTGATATGTTGGACTTTCCTCAGTAGGAGCTACTTAGGAGGTGTGTTATATATTTGACAATTCTGAAATTCTATTATATGATGTTTCCCTTTGTTTGGTGCCGAGTCCTCAAATTTATGGCCCATTTGAACGTTCAATGTCAGTGCTACTGATGTTCCTCTCAATACCTGCAAAAAAGGTGGTTTGAGGCACCACAATCTCATGTTCTGCATGAACGCCCATTACCTCAGACTCAATATCTTCTAGAATAACCTTTGCTAATCTAGCTAGAGTCTCTCTTGTGGGCTCATCTTGAATCACTAACATCTCTTGCTTGTCGGCTTGTAGTTGAGGCTCAGCTCTGACATCTGCATGTCGCTATCTATTTCTTCAACTATTCTCTGCTCAGTGAAAGAGATTATTCTCATGGTCGTGCAATTTGATTCAATATGCCCAAATTCGTGACACTTGAAATACTTTCTTAGCTTGGACAACTTTAGGAATATTGGTTAGCTCCATCTGTTCTCCATTTTGAATTAGTTTCTTCTCAAGCGTGGTCGGCTTGAATGTTCGAGTTGGTGTATTCTTGCTGCTTCATCCTGGGATAGAACTATGTCTATAAGATATGGTAATCACCCGATGATGTTGTCTCGAGAACATTTCATGTTTGTAATGAACTGGTAGGTACTTGTGCTACACTGCCTTCATTTTCTAGTAAGCAGTGGTCTTGTCTTGACCTTCTTTATTTCTTTTCCTCTGCAGATTCTCCCACCAAAACACGACGTTTTTCTTCAGCTTGATGGTTGCAAGTTTCACTCTTCTCTCATCTCTTACCTTTTTATATTCAAAGATCATCTCGATGATTTGTATGAACTCAAGAAAGTCATTCAGATTCATTCTTTCCTCGAAATCCAATATATTTATATGCACTCCTAAGCCTTGTATCATCCAATAGACACTTTCTATCTCGGCCTCCACTGATTTTGAATCTCGAAGTGTCATGGTTGATTTCCTCTTCATTGAAATCATACCTACAGAAATGATTCAGATTGGATCTCACTATCACAGTCGACAGTGTCCTCGCCCTTTGTCCTATCCTCAATTTCATCAAACCATTGTAACACTCAGCGGAGTTATCGCTACATCTCTTTCATTATAAACTCTTGATCTAAATTCGATACTTGTCTCTTCGGTGGCATGAGTAGGGTTTGGATGCTGGTAGGTGGGTGTATGGGTGTGCTGTCAGGTGGGAAAGAAAAATTTTTGGTTAGAAGGGAGGTGAGGTAACCCTAGAATAGGACTAGGGTTATGTTATGTCTGATATCAAATGATACTGGAGTTAACCCAAATAATAATTGGAAATCAAATTTTATTATTGAAAGCAAATGTGAGAGTGCAACCAATGTAATACCCGATTTTGTGAAAACATGTAAAATTTTAGCAATTTTAAAGTATATGCTAAATTTAGCATTTTTCAAAAATTGACTAAATTAATTTTATAAATTATTCATCTTAGTCAATAAATTAGATATATAGCATCATGCCTGAATTTTAAACGTATGGGAACATATAAAATTATGAAATAAAAGTTTAATTAAACTTAAATAAACCCTTCATTAATCCCTAATTCTTGTCACTGTTCTCTAGCAGACTCCCTCTCCCACATTAAACCGTGTATGCAATAGATGGATAGGATTGAACGACTCAGATTTTTTATAATCCACGTTAAATGCCAAACTTCGCTTCATTTCTACCCCTCCCACTTGATTTTCACTTGTCTGAAGGGTCTTGCGACCGATATTGTAGCTGGGCGGGGCAAGTGGTTGGGCATGAAGCCGCAACTCTTAGTTCGGAGCTCTAAGAGAAGGACAGTGAGTATAAATCTCTCTTTAATGATATTTAGGACATTTTTTTTCCTTCCCTACGTTTTTGTTTTGATATTTACCATGAATTATGGTATTGAATGTGTCCCCTATTGCTGTAGCTTTGTGAGAACAAACACGAAACTGTGGAACCAAGGGCTACGCTCTTTTGTGGATCCATTTCATGAGTTGCAGGGAAGGGTTGAGGGGAAAGGTAGAAGACGAAAGAGGAATGGGAAGCATCAAAGCCCATTTGAGGTAAGAAAATTATATCTATTGTTAAATCATGATAAAAGCCAAGAATTAATGAAAATCCTCGAGGTTGACAAATTTTAGCTTGTTTACACTAGGCGTCGAGCTTGAAGCGAGCTTGCAAAAACTCATTGTAGGGTTATTTCGTCAATTCAGGTAAAATAATTATGTGCTAAATTAAGAATAATATCTTTCTCTAGAATTTTGATATGAATTCTTGTGATGTATGAACACATTTAGAATTCCCTCATAATGTTGAATATCTGCAATCGTACATAAATTTCTGTTTAAATTATCAATTTTCCTATTTATTGACACGATGAGCATATTTATGAAATTTTCACTTGCAAGCATTAATATCATATTGATTACGCACATGATTATGATTTGCCTATGATTGCTCATTACAGGAATTAGGATTACTACAATTACTGGAACGTCCTAACCGTTGTGTGACACCTCAAATAATACATGAAAGAGCGAGAGAGGAAGCGAGGAGCCAGGTAACCGTAGAGAGGGAGATGAAGTGAGAAGGTCGGGAAGCTTAAGAGATGAGGTTCACCCTATAAATTGTCGAACGACTTACCAATAGAGCTGAATGTCTTATCTATAGGAAGGAAGACAAGAGGAGAGGAAGAAACTGAGTGACAGGAGAGCAGATAGGAAAGAGGGGTTTGCGGTACAGAGGGAAGCCAGATCTAGGTGTTACGACAGGGGAAGAGAGAAGGGCAAGAGGTTGGGGGAAGATAAGTATCTCTCCAGGATCGAGTTACAACCGGATCACCCTCGAACCTTTGAAGAAATCACCACCCTGAGCGAGTTACACTTGGAGCTTCTTCTCGCCTTCGGATATATCCCTAAAAGGTAAAACAACCGCGACGACGAGCTGGACAAAAATCTGAACTCTAAAGGACCAAAAACTAAACCCTAGGATAGCAAACACCTATATAAATAGAAGATGGATGGGCAGAAACAAAAACAAGAAGGGGCGGAATAATTCCTGCCCAATGAAAAATGGGAGGAGGTGGTTTGTCCAGGGATGAGCCTTCTCCGGTTGGGGCTGGTTCAGCCCAAGCCCCCACGTCACAATGTTATTAATAAGATAATCAATTGTGCATTGGAAAAATATGTGCACGTTTAATATACAAATTGAGACGCAAAGAATTCAATTTAACGCACGAAGAGTTAGAATTTGTCATTCAAACCTAGACTAGTTTATATATCAGTTACACAGTATCAGTTTCCTTTATCTCAGGAAAATAAATTTTCTAACTCGCTTTAAAATTGATATCTTTTTAATTATGAAATGCAATTTAATAAAGAAAGGAGTTATTTATGACACTAAACTTGGCAATTAACATTAGAAGTTTTAAACTTCTAATGAAAATACTAGACTGCAGTAAATTCTAGTTTTGGTGCAATGAGTTCAAGCAGAAGTGTAGCACTTATTTGGAATTGTGTCAACAATCTATAGGGATGAAAAATTCCTTTGTTTTTCTTTCTTTTACATTATTTTTAATTTGTTTCCTACACGCCCTGCCGCGCTCGTTACACACACAAATATATACATGTTAAGTTGCCTTTAGTGCATTTTGGAGCTTTCAAATTTGAGTCAAGGAAATAGCTCTTTTTTGCAAATGCAAGATAAGTTTGGGTATATGAATGCTTTGCCAGACCACACATTAGTTGGAGCTCCATTTAATAAAAATGCCCTTCAAGCATGGCTTTCAGTTTCACCAATATTCAATGGAAATATGAACTTATCTTAATTTCACGATCTGACCTGGGGCTTGG